AGGATTGTATGGTATAAAAAGGCCATACACCTCACACTTAAAAAGCTGAAAAGCTGAAAATCTGAATCTGCCATCTGCAATCTAAAGATCTACAATCTGAAAATCTGAAGCAAGCTGAAAATCTCAGAATCTACAATGTGAAAATCTACAATCGGAAACTTCTGCTAAACTTCTGAACCTCTGAACTTCTACACTTCTTCTATGATACTTCTGATCTACTTTACTCATAATAACTACACTCTACTCTAAACACTACAATCCAGACTGCACTATCCCTCACTTGCTACCTGCGGCCATTTTGCTGAAGGAGTCCAGCTGCCATTTTGTCTTGAGGACCATTTGAAGGCCCACCTGCATCCCACTGGGGAGTCCACAAAATGAGACTGCTAGGATATTGTATTTATTTGATATTTCCAATTTTCCATAGACTTATAGCATTTGTATTGTGTGTTTAGGAATATTAAGATTATATACATAATTATCACTAAAAATTATTTGATTTGGTATTGAGAGTATATATTGCATATTTAACTGATTGGTAGTTTTGTTGTAGTGCAATTTATCAGAGATACTTTTCTTTTTTCTCTATGGCCACAAGAAATTTGAAATAATTTCTGAAGCACTATAAGGTTACAACTTATACCTAAATTTAATTTTTCCTCTATTTACTATTATCTATAATCATTTATTGTTGGATCATATAGAAATTAGCCTGTCATATTTTTGATTGTATGTACAAGTATACATTTATCACCAGTCTTTTGCGTTTGTATTAATATATATATAAATTTTGTACATAAATAAATTTATTTATTTATTTATCAAAAAGGCAATTTTTGTGTATATGGTACAAAATCATACTGGCTAAAAGGACTCAAAGTATATTATTAAGTGGTGATCAAATTATTACGGTGTCCAAATTATTGGTTCATTAAACATTTGCCGTATTTTAACGGCTGGAGGCACTGCAATATTTTGTTTAAGGGAGAGGACACCGTCCTACATATTTAGAATAAATTCTTACATAAACCACCACAACATGCACCAGTTCCAAGATTGTACAAATGTCTAAATAGTGGCACACTTGAACAAAAATTGTCCACGTATAAGTGGTACCCCTATTGGTAATAGGATGACACCAAGTCCCAAACTATCTTGCCACTACTCCCCATGTAGTCTGGGCATTCGGGGGGCTCTGCGTGCCTTTTCCCTCGTAAATCTGAAACTTATAAGTATAGCCTGTTGCCCTCTCACAGGTCTTCTACATGTTGATCACATATCTGGCATGCTTGCTGGGGAGAAATTGCTTGAATGCAAGGCGGCCAGAAAAATTAATGAGAGACTCATCAACGCATTTTTTTTGCCGGGGAGTATAGACATCTGCAAATTTTTGGTTAAGGTGATTTGTGAGGGGCTGAATTTTGTGGAGCCAGTCGAGGACGAGAGTGTATTGTCATTGAAATGCATAAAACACATTATACTCTCATATCTATGCCTGGCTATGGCAGCAGAGAACACGGGATATGATGAATCGAGTCTGTGGACCAATACAACCGCAATTAATTTTTTTTAGCAATGCCCATGTTGAGGGTAAGGTCCAAAAAAAACTTAAATTCAAAAACCGTAATGGGTTGCCATGCGAATGGTCTGGCGATAAATCGTTGTGCATATATATTGCTTTGATCCACAGTCAATGCATACAGATATTCTGTGAAAAACAGTTCCAAAAAATCAAGGGGAGTAGTTAAATTTGCTGTTTCCACCTGAATTCCGGGTTGGGCAGTGAATGGGGGATACATGGGTGCTGCAGAATTTGTGGGCTGCCAATCAGGATTTGCAAGCACATCCAGAAGGATACTAGGGGCTCTATGGGCATGTGTGTGAATTCTTGGTGGTTGTGGGACAATACTTGTGCTTGCCACCGCACCAGCTTGTACTGCACTTATGGGACTCACCACGACACCAAGTGATGCTGCTGTGCTGGTATGTGAAAGACCAGGATGTACTAGGCCGTTTGTGCTCACCAGTTCACCAAAAGGTAGAGCGGCACTAGTACTGGCACTCATATGAGAGTAATCAAAATGTACTTGCAAGTGCTAGCAGAGATCAGGCCTGATTCTGTGAAAACTGCGGTTTTGTGTGCAATGTATCAAGTGACAGTGACACATACTGACACTGCACTTGCTGGGGGAGAAGGGGGGGTTAGCGTAGGGGCTAAACACAGGTGCAGGCAGGTGCCGGGGCTGATCCCGATAACATTGCATTTTTAAGGACACTATACTAATGTGAACGCTGGTATAGTGCTGATCTGATCAAAGATATTGATCTTTTCAGACACTCCTGGAATCAAGGGGTTAAATGCAATGGATGACGCTATTTATTGTGTATGAGCGTGTTCCTGGAATCAAGGGTTAAATGTGACTTTACTGTGTATTGACGGGCATTTACATCTTTTTCCCCACAAATTGAGCTGCCGGGGCTGATCCCGATAACATTGCATTTTTAAGGACACTATACTAATGTGAACGCTGGTATAGTGCTGATCTGATCAAAGATATTGATCTTTTCAGACACTATACTAGCAATGGATGTTTATTGTGTATGAGCGTGTTCCTGGAATCAAGGGGTTAAATGCGATTACTGGTGTATTGACGGGCATTCTGTGCTATCTGGGAGGGGCATGAAAACCTGGGAGTGTGAATCACCCACGTGATTTTGCTCACCCGCCCCTGTAGCAGTATTTCTGCTATAGGGCGGTCAGGAAGCGGATATATAAGCGGTATGTGTTACGGCACTGCGTTACTTTAACTGACAATTGAGCAATTATGCAATGCTGCAGCAAAATTAAATTTACATCCTTTTTCCCCACAAATTGAGCTTTCTTTCAGTGGAATTTGATTGCCTGTGCATTTTTTATTTTTTGCACTATAAAAAAACAATATTTTGGACTTTTTGCTATAAAACATGTCCAATAAAAAAATGAAAAAAATCTAATTTTGTCATAAATTTTGGTCAAAATGTATTCTGCGGCATGTCTTTGCTAAAAAAATCCCAATACTTGTAAATTAATTGGTTTACGGGAAAGTTATAGTGTTTACAAATAGCGGTATAGATACTGGATTTTTTTTTTTAATGTATACTAATAATGGCGGCTATCTGAGACTTATTGCGGCAATCAACGACTTATGGTGGCGATCAGCAACTTATAGCGGGACTGTGGCAGATATTCTGACACTGGTTGGGGAACTGACTTGGGGTCACTGACATCCCCAGTGACACCAATACAGTGATCAGTGCAGAAAAAAAGCACTGACACTGCACTAATGGCACTGGGGAGGAAGGGGTTAACATTAGAAGGCAATCAAAGGTTTAAAGTGTGAGGGAAGTGTTTAACTAGGGGGCGGGGGGGGTGTGATTCACTGTAAGGACACTGTGATTTGGATCAGTGTGCTCAAACTGACAGAGAGGAGAGCTGCATAAACAATGCAGCACTCTTCCCTGTCAGTGTTTGCCGGCGAGTAATCACTGGCCAGGACCCGTAGATTGACACCCGCGGCCGCAATCAGTGCCGCGTTTAGGGCGGTCGCGTGCCCCCTACCCCGCAATGCAGGATCACATTTGTATGCGCTTTACCGCACTATATGTACTGTGGGCGGTCCCTGTCAGGAATGGACTTGCCAATAATGGTGGGACTCACCTGCCTTCTGGGCTGCAGTACCAGGGCTGGCCAGCGGGTGCTCTCAGCAATCAGAGACTCACCCCTGAAGTCAGCCAAACACCTGAAGCTGATTGCAGGGGTTGTATTTAAGGAATGGCCAGACTCACAGTCAGGGCCTTGGTGTGTGTTTTTCCATGGGCCCCTGTATCTTGTATCCTGTGTTCCTGTTTCTGCCTGACTTGTTGCCGACCCTGCCTGATCCTGACCTCTGCTGACTTCTCCTGTTTGATCCCTGGCTTGTGACCCTGACCATTCTCTGCCTGACCCTCTGCACCGCGCTGCCAGTGAGTTACTGAACCCAGCTTGTGACCCCGACCACTCTCCCGCCTGTTCCTCCGTTTGCTACTGACCCGGCCTGCCTAACGACTCTTGCATTGTATGTATTGTTATCTGTAGGTGGTTTGGTTTGGTTTGTTTGCACTGTGTTTATGTTTAGTTTTGCACTGCGTTTTGTATTGTTAGTCTTAATAAATCATATTGTTTATACCATATCTGAAGCCTGCGTTTCCCTGTGTCAGTCCACACACCTCTGGTCATACCTGGAGCCCTGACATTACACCAAGGCCAATCCTGACCAGAAGTGGCTGCACAGGAAAGCCATCTTGGCTTATTGTTGCTGGGAAGGATGGATCTTGATGAGGTGGTGTATTTGTCTCTGCTAGTGTTTGATGACAAAGACTATGCTTATCAGACTCTGAAGGAGTATACCCGGGATCAACTACTAGAGTGTATAAGGATCGCTCATTGCCTAGTAGATCAGGGCACAGAGTTTTCTGAGGTGCAGCCATTGATCGAGATTTGTGCTGAGTTGGCTCGGTCCTGTACCCCTGAAAGCAGGAATTACTTTTTTCCCCCATTTAGTGTGGATCAAGTGGAATCACTGGTATGGTTGTTGGAGGATGATCCAGATTGCTTCCATGAGCATTATGCAGCTTGTCCATCACATGTGCTTATGGATTGCATAAATGCAGTGCAGTCTTTGATCAGACAGGCTATGTGTAAGCTGAGTTTTGTTCAACCAGTACTGCAGACATGGACAGATTTGTTGCACCCAGCCTCAGTCAGCTTGCAACATCATTCCTCTGCTCAAGGCACTCTTCCTGCATCCCCGACAGCACCCCCAGTGACGGCCCAGTATACTCTGCTAACTACCACATACCAGTCCCCTGCTCCCACTCGCTGCACCTATCCTTTCTTTAACCCTGTAAAGAAGTCCTCTGTAGCAACGGCTCCCTCCTCTGTTCCATCCTTCAGCTCTTCTCTGTCTTTAGCTGCTCCATTCGTTTACAGACCTGCGTTTACTTACAGTGCTCCAGTAACTAAAACCAGAAAAAAGCGAAAATTCTTTCCAACCAGTACCATCCTGCCAGTATCCAGTAGCCTGCCGTCTGAGACCCGCCTTCCGTGGTTCAGCCTGGTGCCTCGGCACCTGCAATTCAGCCTGATGTCTCTACCCAGCCTGATGTCTGTACCCAGCCTGATGAACTGATCCAGCCTAATGATCCTATCATGCCAGGCGACTCGGTGCCCGCTGTCGAGCCAGATGACCTGATGCCTGGTGACCCGATGCCGCTGTCATGCCAGTTGACTCAGAGCCCGCTGTCGTGCCAGTTGACTCAGAGCCAGCTGTCATGCCAAATGACTCGGTGCCCGCTGTCGAGCCAGATGACCTGTTGCCTGGTGACCCGATGCCCGCTGTCGAGCCAGATGACCCGGTGCCCGCTGTCGAGCCAGACGATCCGGTACCTGATGACCCGGTGCCCGCTGTCGAGCCAGACGATCCAATGCCTGATGACCCAGTGCCCGCTGTCATGCCTGGTGACCCGATGCCCGATGTCGTGCCTGATGACTCGATGCCCGCTGTCGAGCCAGACAATCCAATGCCTGATGACCCAGTGCCCGCTGTCATACCTGGTGACCCGATGCCCGCTGTCGAGCCAGACGATCCAATGCCTGATGACCCAGTGCCCGCTGTCATGCCTGGTGACTTGATGCCCGCTGTTGTGCCTGATGACCCGAAGCCCACTGTCGAGCCAGATGACCCGGTACCTGATGACCCGGTGCCCGCTGTCGTGCTAGTTGACTCGGAGCCCGCTGTCGTGCCGGTTGACTCAAAGCTCGCTGTCGTGCCTGATGACTCGGTGCCCGCGGTCTTGCCAGATGACTTGGTGCCCGTGGTCTTGCCAGATGACTCGGTGCCCGCGGTCTTGCCAGATGACTCGGTGCCCGCGGTCTTGCCAGATGACTCGGTGCCCGCCGCTCTGCCTGGGGGCCCGGTGCCCGCTGCCCTGCCTGGTGGCTCGGTGCCCGCCGCCCTGCCTGGTGGCCCGGTGCCCGCCGCCCTGCCTGGTGGCCCGGTGCCCGCCGCCCTGCCTGGTGGCCCGGTGCCTGCCGCTCCGCCTGCTGGCCCGGTGCCCGCTGCTCCGCCTGGTGATCTGGTGTCCAGCCCGATGTGCCTCTGTCCGGTGTCCAGCCCGATGTGCCTCTGTCCGGCGTCCAGCCCGATTTGCCTCTGTCCGGCGTCCAGCCCGATGTGCCTCTGTCCGGCGTCCAGCCCGATGTGCCTCTGTCCGGCGCCCAGCCCGATGTGCCTCTGTCCGGCGCCCCACCCGATGTGCCTCTGTCCGGCGCCCCGCCCGATGTGCCTCTGTCCGGCGCCCCGCCCGATGTGCCTCTGTCCGGCGCCCCGCCCGATGTGCCTCTATTCGGTGCCCAGCCCGATGTGCCAGTCTTTGATATCCCGCCAGTTACCGGACCTGGGCGGTGGAACATTTTGCCCAGCTAGGACTGTTTGGAGCATCCTGAGGCCGCTCCTTGAGGGGGGGGTACTGTCAGGAATGGACTTGCCAATAATGGTGGGACTCACCTGCCTTGTGGGCTGCAGTAACAGGGCTGGCCAGCGGGTGCTCTCAGCAATCAGAGACTCACCCCTGCAGTCAGCCAAACACCTGAAGCTGATTGCAGGGGTTGTATTTAAGGAATGGCCAGACTCACAGTCAGGGCCTTGGTGTGTGTTTTTCCATGGCCCCTGTATCTTGTATCCTGTGTTCCTGTTCCTGTTTCTGCCTGACTTGTTGCCTACCCTGCCTGATCCTGACCTCTGCTGACTTCTCCTGTTTGATCCCTGGCTTGTGACCCTGACCATTCTCTGCCTGACCCTCTGCACCGCGCTGCCAGTGAGTTACTGAACCCAGCTTGTGACCCCGACCACTCTCCCGCCTGTTCCTGGTACTCCGTTTGCCCGTTTGCTACTGACCCGGCCTGCCTGACGACTCTTGCATTGTATGTATTGTTATCTGTAGGTGGTTTGGTTTGTTTGCACTGTGTTTATGTTTAGTTTTGCACTGCGTTTTGTATTGTTAGTCTTAATAAATCATATTGTTTATACCATATCTGAAGCCTGCGTTTCCCTGTGTCAGTCCACACACCTCTGGTCATACCTGGAGCCCTGACAGTCCCCTAGTGGTTAAGGAACTCTTCTTGTTTGCCTATTTATATTTACTTATTTTCAGCTAACAAGTACTTCTTTTGGCACATGTACCAGGCTAATCTTAACTACTTTGCAGAAAAAAAAATCTTAAGCACAAACAGAAGCAGACAGGGATCTGGAATCATTTATACTGAAATCCTTGAATGTATATGGTCGGGGGGAGCTAGTTTTACTTTACACATAATGTATTTTAAAGGGTTTATCTTCCTTTATAGAAGATTTAAGAATCAATTTATCCTTAAAACTTCTAAAAGAATAATGGCTGCCCAGGCATAATTACATGTTGCTAAAGTGAATAATTAAGGTGTTGTTTACAGCCATTATAACTGTAACACTTACTTGCTGTAAGATATTGTAGAACCTGTATATACACATTTGCACATTTTTGGGAAAAAGCTTCAAAGTACATGAGCTTGATTCAATTAATGAAAACAAATATAAGCATGTAGATGAAGGAATTAAATACATACAAAAGCTTAATTAATCTGGCCTTGGTCACTACATTGTAGTTAACCTCAAAGCTCAATATCCAAATGAGATAACATCATCACCCCAACTATCACTCTTAAAACATCAATACCAGATCAATTTCCCCTGCAGTTAATATTTCAGAAAGAGGCAGAGGAAACAAAGGTCTACAAATACTTTAATGAAATAATTTATCACTTACGTAAATTCAAAAGTGGTATAAGTATTTCTTATTTCTCAGAAAGCCACTCATCACTGACACTAATGAGCACATTTTACAATTCTTGTGGTACTGCTTGCTTTGTAAAACTTTAATCTATTGTCCACTTTAATTACAATTTAATCTATTTAGGAAATAACCACTGATTGTTTTTTTCATGTATACTAAAATATTATACTGGAACTAAAACATATTTTTAACATTTATGGAATGCTGTATACAGACAAATGTTATGGCCCTAAAGATACTGTTTCTACTTTGGATAGCTAATTCATATTACGTAATATGTTTAGTCATTTTGAAAACATGCACTTGTTTCCATTTATTTATTGTAAGTAGTATAAATCTATGTTTATGCCTTAGTTTTCCAAAGAATCCTTTTATCTGACTGTATCTTATGGTACAGTTTATATTAAGGTGATCTGAATAGCACTAAACTAAAGGCCTGCAACTTATCAAGAATATTATTGTTATAATACAAAGAGCTTTGTTAGACATACAGTACTACTATAGTATATCTATGTTCAACAAACCAGCAGTTCTTGTACATAGTTGGTCAACTGACATACATAAATGATTTACTTTTTTTCCACATGCAAACTTTAAATAAAGAATAAAGTCTTATTTTATTAAACCTGTGAGAAATTGCTATTATGTACTAGACTGTAATGCTGTGAAATGGTAAGCATAAGTACTGATTCATTTGAACTTATTTAATATATATATTTTTTGTGTTGCAAGCAGGGGCGGACTGACAACTAATAGGGCCCCCAAGCAATAGGGGATTATGGGGCCCCTGTGTCCTTGGCCACACTCAAAGCACACCCAAAAAAGCCTATAAAAGGTACCAGGGCCATTTCATGGGGCCCCCTAGTGACCCTGGGCCCTCGGGCAGTGCCCGAGTGCTCGAATGGTCAGTCCACCCCTAGTTGCAAGTCTCTTATAGCTTAGCAAGAAGAAACAACACCGTAGTCTGCAGATTGGAAGGACCTGGCTCTTTTGTATTTGTTATACAAACTATTTGCCATGTGAATGCACATGTATGGAAACAGGCAAAATTGACTAACTGGGGTTTATTTACTTAAAGGCAAAAACACTTTTCACTTTGCAATGGAAATTGCACAGTGCAAGGTAATTTTCCCTACACTTTACAAAGAATACCCAATGTAGCACACCCTTGGGTGATGCTTGGCTAAATATATAGGTTCAGCTCCCACCTGAATCTGGTGACACCTCCGATTATACCCAGAACACTTCGACACTCTGAGAATATTTTTTTATGGGTTTTATTGAAGAAGACAAACCCTGAAAAAGAACTAGCTGATTTAACACAGGTAATGTACATAAAACACAGATACCACTTTGCATAACACAGTAAGAAGTCACAATTCACTCACCAAAGACTCCAAAAACTGACTAGTATCACACTGACTAGGGTGGCATATGAGAGTGACATTGACACATGAAACAATAACTGTTAATGAGATTTAGTGGCTTATTGACATTTGCTATAGCAGTACCATCTAGAGCAGAGATGTCCTACCTAACCACTGATCAGTGGGATGAAACTTAAAGTCTCTCAACGTTGGGGCCCTTTAATCACTGGAAGAGCGCTCACTCTCTGCATGGGAGAGTATTTGTAATCCAGGGGTAGCAGGATACCACAGTTTCCTTAAAGCAGAATCTTCCAGTAAACATTGCAATAGAAAACAACAACACTTCAACAAATCTTTACCATACAGGTGAAATCCTGATATACTGACACTTGCTCAGTATATTCAAAGCAGCAAGCTTCTGTGGGGACTTGGAACTAAACACACTCTTCAGCCACAGCACAAGTTTTGAGGAGACAAACCAGTAATATACAGTGACAGAGTTCTCTCATCAATCAGCAGCAGGAATATCTAATTCTGAGCAGCTTGGGCTTTCCAAGATCTGTGTCACTCTGAGAATTAGAGAGCAGGCTTTCTCATGACCATTCTCTAGAGATGAACAGCAAGTGCAGCAATATAAAAATCCCCTTTCATCACAGAGTACTCACTGTTTCTGGATTGTCCTCTAGATAGAATTAGACAGCAGTAGAAATTCTCTCTCTTTCAGCAGCTCCAGACTTTGAGAGACACATGCACTTGAGTGGCTGTAATCCTGAGTGTCAGGCAGGACAATCCTTGATTTGCACACTGTCCTCTTGCAACAATTCCTCTGCTACACACTCCCAGCCCAGCCCATGGGCTCTAGCAGCACATAGAGTGAGACTCTGTGACTTTACACCAGGAGCCCTTGCTTCATGCGGTCCCCTGAAAATGTCTGCTTCCCCACATGTGCTTCTTCTTCCTTTTTCCTCTCTGCTTTCCTCCACAGCCAATCATAAGTTCAGCTGCAACAGTACTGCTATGGGTGGATCCTTCTCAGCTCTCAGCTGTAGCAACAACCAATCAGAGCACAGTCCTGCTTTCCCTGTCTGTCGCTCACAAAGAGGGAAAAGAAAAAAAAATGCTTTGCAACTGCTGTTTAAGATTTAAAGCAACCAGCACATCTCTACACCAATAACATACAAGAAAAATAAAAAGCAGTATTTCTCTTGCACATGATTGGATAATGGAAGTAAGCAGAGCTTCACCTCATTCACTATTACAGTGGAGCAGTCAAAGACTGAAATCAAGCTTGTGACTGCATGACCTCAATAGGTATGTTTAGGTATTTTTAGGTGGTTTTGGTGATCTAGTGATTCAAAGAGTAAAACATGCCATTCCCTTTCTGGTCCTGAAGCTTGCCTGGCTCTTCTATGAGTCCAGGGCTGATTCAAGGATATTTAGAAGGAACTCTAAATTGTGATTTTATTTTAAGTCTGTACAAAACTGAATATTTAGATTTTGGTAAACTGACCTATTAACTTTATGATGATACATTATTAACATCATATAATGCTTAATTTGTATCCATAAAGTGTTATTCCCTTGAAAAGTGAACAATCTATTTGCCTTTAGTAAATCAACCTCCCTACTCAACCTCAACTGTGTAAATTCACTACTTTGTCATGCTTTACTGCATCTCAGTGATGTTTATCTCCTGCAGAGTAAGGTCCTATCTACATGCATGTACTCAAGGAA